GAGTCCCTTGGAACTTCTCTGATGAGTATTAAGGGGGTTAAGCAAATATGCCTGCCTTATTCTTCTTAATAGAATATTTTTTAATATTTTAATAGAGAACATAAAAATAATGTCTTCTTGGTCAGCTTACCCTCACACTTTACATCTTACTGCAGAAATGGCAGGTGAAGTCTACCAAATTACTCGTTGAGCATCTGTTCATTCAGTACCTTGATGGGAACTTACTGTCTACAAGACACTGTTACAGTTTCAGGGAATGCAAATTTATGGATTTCAGAATAAGTCTAAGTACCCCTCTTCTGGTAAACTGCCAGGTGGGGTCCAGAGAAATGTTATGGAGTTACTGCTCTCAAATAGAGATGAGCAATGAAGCCACACTGTCAATGGTCTAAAGTCAATGTGAGGCGCATTCCTGTGTGATAAGTGATTCTGATTCACTGCTCCCCTCACTTGCCTAGAGCTTTGACATGAATTAGGCATGAGCCACATGCTTATTGACTGAGCAGGTGTAGGGCAGGCGCTGTGGCACAGCAAGTTAAGCCACTACCTGCAGCACCAGCATCCTGGTGCCAGTTTGAATCCCAGCTGCTCTTCTTACAATCCTGCTGCCTGCCAGGGTGCCTGGGAAAGCAGCATAGGATGGCCCAAGTGTGTGGGCCCTTTCACTCACCTGGGAGGACCTGAATGAAGCTCCTGCCTTTGGGTTGGTCTAGCCTTGGCTGTTGCAGTCATTTATGGGGTGAACCAGCAGAGTAGAGCTAGCTAATTCATTCTCTCTCTCTCTCTCTCTCTTTGTTCCTCTGTCTCTGCAGGTCTGACTTTCAAAATAGACAAATATTTTAAAAATATGTACATTTAAAGATTGATCTGCCAATTATAAACTGCCTGTTATGTGAAAATCTTTCTGGAATGCAATGGCGGAAGCCTGTGTGCGATGTGTACAATTGGATATGGAAGTGATTATTTCCCATTATATGGAAAGCTTCCTACCTTAGTATTTTGAAACAGTGTTGGAAAACATGGCATGAGTTGGCCTACCAAGAACTGGTGATCCCACTGTGTGACCAAACACCGACCAAACACCAGAACAGCCCTCAGATGAGGCTGCAGATGCTTTTGCAGATTGATTCAGCCACTGTGCAGATGGCCAATCCCCTCTGAAAGAGATTCAGGATATCCCCTCAGACCCTCAGAGAGTTAACCTAAGAACTCGGTTATAACTGGGGCCTGTGCTGTGGCTCAACATGTAAATCCTCTACCTTCAAGCACCAGCATCCAATATAGGAGCTGGTTTGTATCCTGGCTGCTCCACTTCCAATCTAGTTCTCTGTTTATGGCCTGGGAAAGCAGTCGAGGATGGCCCATAGCCTTGGACTTCTGCACCCATGTAGGATACCCAGAAGAGGCTCCTGCTTTCAGATTGGCTCAGCTCCAGCCATTGTGGCCATTTGGGCAGTGAACCAGTGGGAGGAAGCTCTTTCTCTGTTTCTCCTCCATGTAACTCTTTCTTTCAAATAAAAATGAACGAGTCTTTTCTTTAAAAAAATAAGTTAGCTGAAACATTAGCGTAAATATGACTCATTGAAAAGAAACAAACCAACAAAACCAGGGTAGTTTCAAACCCTGAAATACTAGACAGAAAAGTCAGAAAGGGTTGACGCCAGGAATTAGAGAATCTTGGGACAGCACTGAGAGCATCTGACTGGCCTTGCAGAAAGATGAGAACATGGGGGAAGAGCCGGTGAAAGCTACACAAGTTCAACATTCAGTTTTCTCTGTCCATCCAAAGACATTGCTACTGTCTTCCCAGGGAGCTGCCCTTCCAGGAGAGGGAAACTTGCCAATCATCTTTGGTTTGTCTGCCTTGTAAATTGCATCTAAAATGTAACAATCTCACAAGACTTGGTAGACTAACTCAGTCAGCCAAGTCCAAGAAAGGAGACAGTGACGAAAGCAAGCTTACATCCAAATCCTAGCCTGTCCTTCAAGAACCAGGGTGGATGGAATCACTGATCTCATCAGACGAAATGCGGCTCCCTGCTCTGGATGCCAGGAGATGATGGAAGTGCGGTCGGATGCCTGGCTAGCTGCCCAGAGCAAACACTCAGTGTCAGGAAGTCATGCCCAACCTTGCCCTTGATCTTTTTGTGGCATTTATTTATTTTTCAGCTAGTATTTATTGAAACTTTCTAATTGTGCCAGACCCTGGGCAAGTAATAAGGCCTGCCTCTCTCCTTGTATGTGTTGCTAGTGTATCAGAAGGCTTAAAAATCCCTGGGGCTCATGTGCTTCACCAAACTGTAGAATTCTCATGTGCAAGTCCTCAGCACACTGGTGATGACATGTCTGCTCTCTGCCTGGTTTTCTTAAACTATTCATCTGCTTTATCTCCCCAGAATCCTAGGTTCCTTACGAATTCTTCATATCATCATAGCAATGTATATATTAGGCTTCAATAGCTTTTTGCAGAATAAGTAAATGAATTTCCTTGTTAAAAATAATGTTTCCTCTACATGTATTTATCAGGCCATTTCAAAAAGTAGTACTACTTTATAATAAAAAACTGATTTCTGTATGAAGAGAATTGATGATGCATTAATTTCCCCATATATTTACTTACTTCATTATTTTTTTTCACTTTATAAATAAATAAGCTGCCTAGATTTTAAACATGCAATAAGTAATGGGCTAATCCTCATTAAATTTTCCACAAGAGATTCTTGATGATTAAAAAAATGGTGAGTAAAAAATCTGTCATTTGGTTTAAAAACATTACTTCAACTAGAGAAGGAAAGCTAAAAGGCAATTTAATACAAAAAATAAAAAGCTGGTCAGAAGAGCGTTACAGGTGTTTGCACTTGCTGCTGAGGGTGGAGTGTCTCTCGGTGGCACAGTGGAACCACCCTGAGAACTCAGTGCAGTCCCTACCCCTACCATCTTCATCGTCCCATATTTCCAGGCATCTGTGATTTTAGTAAAGTTTGTAGAACACTGGCCTAAGAAAGAGTGGCCCAGGCGGTGCTCCCACTGGACCTCTGTAATCATGCTTTGGAACATTCAATAAGAAGGACAGGAGCCCAGCTAGAGTTGATAAGGGAGACAGAGAGACGGCCACCTGAGCCCTCTGCAGGAAGAGCTGATGGGAGATTTGTCACACAGGTAGGGCATTGATTCACAGAAATGTGAGTACAGGAGGGAGGGTGGTCATGGCAGTAGTTAGCAGCCACTGTTTTCCAGTGCTTACTTTGTGCCTCATAGAGATAATTGCATTTAAAATCCTTGTAGAAAACAAGAGAACCATTCACACACTTATTTAACAAATACTAGGGTACGTCACAAGATTTATGGTGCAAAGACTTGAAATCTATGCTTAGGAAAGATTTTGAAAGTATCATAAGAAATCTGTTTTAAGAAAAAAAATCTATGCGTGTATTTCAAATATTTTTGTACCCAAAAAAGCCAAGCTTTAATTATTTTTTTTTTTTTGCCACAAGTTGTTTGAAGTGTGTTTCTGTTATAATTGTATTGCCAGCATGGTTCTAGCCATATCTCTGCAAACTAAAGATGTAACTATCTTTGCCATTATGAAATTGAATTCTATAGTCAAATAACAAGTATTAATAAATGAGCTGATAAAAGTCCTGAAGATGAGTGCTATGAAGACAATGAAACCAGGTGAAGGGGGAAAATTGCCACTTGAGATCACATGACTAAAGAGAGAAGGACAGTTGGCCCAAGGTATGAAAGAAGCCAAGTCCTGACCCACAGCTCTCCAGTGGCAAGATCAAGGAAGCCATGAGTGGCATGAAATGAGGGAGAGAGGGGATTGGAAACCCGTTCGGCTGCAGGCCAGATCAGAAGCTTTCTTATAAGCGACTAGGGAACTAAACAGGGCTTCTCAAACTTCAAGGTGCCCAAGAATCAAGTGGGGACTTTGTTCAATTAATATGGATTCAGTATATCTGGGGTAGGGCCCCGGTTCTGCATTTCCTACAAGCTCAGTTCTGTGGTCTGTGGTCCCCTTTCCAAGCAAAGGCCTTGGGCTGAGAATCTATACATCACCTCAGTGTCACAGAGCAAGTGAGGCCCAGAGGCAAGGTGGGAATTGCACCTGCCTGACTCGAGTGGCTGTGCTGCCCGTCAGTTGCCTACTAGAAAGCTCCATGCTTGAGTCACCTGCAACTCTTTTATTCAAGAAACTGGAAAGCTGCATGAGAGACTGCCTGTGTGCCTTGTTTTCATAAGATTTATTCAACGTTTCTTATTTTAAAGGAGAAATAGAAGGAAAGCTGAGTGCCTTGGAAACTGTTGCTTCCTTGTCCTCTCTCTTGTGAGAAATGTCTAAAATATGCAAGATATAATGAATCCCTGTCATCTTAGAGACAAATGATACTGTGGGTGATCGGGTAATCATCTTGGTGTAATCTGTGCCAATAAAAAACATGACAAGGCACAGGAGTCAAAATTCTCATGCACTTTTTTTTTGCAGTAACTAACCAAGGAAGCCAATTACTCACCAACTCCGCAGTCATGCCCCGGGCTTCCTAGAAGCTCCTGTCTTGGGCCATTTGCATTTAGCTCTCTTCCTTTGCCTGGAAGATGCTTGGAACCTCCACATGTGGACAGGCTCTGGGGTGGCAGAGATGTGTGCAGCAGTTTGCATGCTACAGTCAATCAGGCTTAAGTGCAAAGCAAAACAAAGCAAAACCCGAGGTGGTGATGTGTGTGGAGTTTGAAAATCAAGCTCTCGGCTTGCTTCCATGAAAACCACCGTGGTTCCAACATCAAACAGATGCTCAGAGAAAAGGATGGTGCCTTACTTTCTCTTATGGTTGGGTAATCCTGGGGAGGGGTGGCAGGGCTACAGATGTGGGGACATGTTCTGTGTGTGTACCGTATATGCTATTACTGCCTTGATGACTGACTTGGTTGGATTTGTTCTGTTGCCTTCCCGTTTTGTTAATTCTCTGTGTTCTTTTTCCTTTGTGCTGCACGATTAGGACCCTGCAGTGGGACACAGACCCCTCAGTGCTCCAGCTGCAGTCAGACTCAGAACTTGGGTATATGTCTGCTCTTTTGTTACTCCTTTAATTATTTCTTTGCCAGAGTTGTGTTGAAATGCTGGAGCAGCTATTGCTCTTGTTTCTTCTCCTCTTCTGTTGAACTTCTAGTTGAATAAGCTTGTTTCTTTCTGTTCGTTACCCTGCTGAAGAAAGTCTCTGTTTGTGGAAAATACCACAAAGAGATGGCTTTCAATCTCCCTTTACTAATTTTTATCATAGCAAAGCAACACTGCCCCAAAGCAAAGAAGCAAACATGTTCCATATCTGTACTTAGAGACCGGGCACACAACTTACATGATGGGAGATGTGCTTGGCTCTTACCCTAACCACCCTCCCCTTCACTAACAAGTCGCCTTAGCTTAATTTTTGCCTAAGATTATTAATAATAAAATGTGCATCTTGTTTGTTTCCTTTTCACTTTTGGAGAATAGTCACAATAAGCAATTAATTTGAATTAGGTTTGAGAAGATAGATTTCTGTTAAAAACAGCAAAATTATTAAATATCTCAAATATTTGATGCATTGGGCAATGATTCCTATATCCTAATGATCATATTTTTTTCCCGGATGGAAATATATTGTCAAGGTTAAATGATAGCTTCAGAACTGAAATTAAGTGCATGAAGAATGAAACACACAAATATATCGTAGAAATTACTAGTGCTTTTGTAGATTAGGCTTTGCTGCAGTCACACATGGGGCGTTTCCACTGAGGCTGATTCTGTGCCTCTCTCTCCAACTTCACTTTCAGCCAAATCATCTTGAAATCAGCCACAGTGTAAGCATTTGTAGCACAAAAATTGGCAAATGGTGTAAACAAAGCTATCCCCCTTCCATGCCTAGCTGGTTATTAACTGTGTTGACCAAAACACCACTAGATACGTCAAAGTGTGAATAGCTAAATTTATTGCAGTTTTATATGAAACTATTATGCTTAGTGTATATAAAGCAAGTGTGTCCAAAAGTGGGTTCTCATTTATTGTTTTTATCCTGAAATTCTTGGGCCTGCATTTCTGTGGGTTTCTATCATTTCCAGTAAAGAGAGGTGGAATAACCTAGTCTGTGATGGGCTCAGTGCCATCTGCGAAAGTTCTTGGCTGACCTACAATGGTGCTAAACCAAGGACATGTCATAACACTTTAGGTAACTTTATTTTAACATGATTAAGTCTTGATTACTTAGTTTATTATTATATTTCAATTTGTTGTATGCTGTATTCCCATTTGTATAACTTTAGTGATCAAGAAATAGTACTTAAGAAGAGAAACAAGACTATATAACAAAATGCCAAGGGAACATCAGAGTTCAGTGCCTCAGCCTATCATTGTGATAAAGATAGAAGGAGGGAACTGGCAGAGACTCCTGCGCACTCAAATTAACAGATTTCGAGACAGATTGTAGCTATGCTACATTACACTTGCTGATGTGGAACGGTTAGAAAATCTCCCATTTAGATCTATTTTCCAAGCAACAGTTCATGGTTGATTATGTAAATTAAAGTTATGACTTATTCTAGGGAGATGGCCTGTCTGTGTCTCTCTCGTCTTGCATGCCGCCTTTACTTCAGATGGGGTCCAGTGAGTCAGAGACAAGGGAGTAGGGTCGGTTCACTGAGAATGGTTCAGCTGGAGTTCACAAGGAGGGCTGCCCCAGAGTCAAATGTTGCCTTTATGAAAATTTTCCTCTTGGCAGGGCTTAGGTGCGCAAGGCTCATGCATCATTTCATGAAGTGTATCCAGATAGCAATCTTTTTCTGTAGACAGTTTTATTTCTTCTTTGCCAGCTGTGGCATGGAATTGACCATAGTCCATACCTTGCTGTCACTTGATTTAGCAGCTTTGTTGGAGTACCATTGACATGGAGTCAGCTAGAGATGCTGAAAGTATTGTGAAAGATCAATGTTAACATGGATGTTCATCGCCACAATCAACAAGTGGCTGTGTCCATCACCTTGAACGTTCTGTGATGCAAATTCTTGCCTTTCCCTGCCCTTCTGACCGTCGAACAAACCGACCTAACTTTTACAATTATCCATTGGTTTGGATTTCTTTTGATATCCTATAAAGGGAGTTATGTGGTAAATATTTTCTGACCAGTTCACTGAGAACAATCATTTTGACATTCACTTAGGCTTGGTGTGGTTAAGCGGTTCACACCTCTGTATTGTAGAGTGAGATTTCTTTCCAGAGTATGCCAGGATTTACGTATCCATTAACTTTTTGGGTTATTTCCATCTTTTTCTTATTACAAATGAAAGTTATAAACATTTATGTACAAATCTTTTTTAGGGGAATCTACTATATTTGAGACAGATAGTAATAAATAGAATAGCTGGTTCCTATGTTGCATGCATGATTAACCTTGCATGAAATAGTCACACTGCTTTCAAAGTTTTACCACTATAAACTCCTACCAGTAGTTTCTGAGAATCTTTGTTATGCCTCATTCTTGACAGTACTTGGTTTAGCCTTTTATTTTTTTTTTAAAGATTTATTTTTATTATTTTTTCATTGGAAAGGCGGATATACAGAGAGGAGAGACAGAGAGGAAGATCTTCCATCCGATGATTCACTCCCCAAGTGAGCGCAACGGGCGATACTATGCCGATCCGAAGCCAGGAGCCTCTTCCGGGTCTCCCACACGGGTGCAGGTTCCCAAAGCTTTGGGCCGTCCTCGACTGCTTTCCCAGGCCACAGGCAGGGAGCTGGAAGGGAAGCGGGGCTGCTGGGATTAGAACCGGCGCCCATATGGGATCCCGGGCGTGCAAGGCGAGGACCTTTAACCACTTGCGCCACCGCGCCGGGCCCGGTTTAGCCTTTTAAAAAATTACTTTTAACCTTACTAAGAATGAAATATACATATTGTATTTTCCTAATGTCTAATGATATCGATTAACCTTTTATATGATTATTTTCCATCTGTCTTCCTCTTTTGGATTTTTAAATTGTTGTTTTCCGTTATATAGTTGTGCGGGCATAGGGGTCTATGAAGTGGCTACGTGAGTCCTCGTCTTTCAAATGCTGTTTTTACTGAACTGTTTGCTCGTGATTGAATTTTGAGAGTTATGTGTGCACTCTGTATTCAGTCCTGTATTTCATATGTAACTTGTAGATATTTTCCTCCAGCTTGCAATTTTTCTTTTTCGTTCTCATGACAATGTGGTTTTTCTTGAAAAGCAATATGAAAATATGGATCTCTATAAAATAATAAAGATCTCAAAAATACTAATTACAAGAGTAAATATGGAAGATTATTTTTCTATTTAAATATTTTTCAAGATAACTGAGTAACAAAATGAATGTGATATAGGATAGGTATGCTTTAACATACTTAATATTAAAGGTCTTTTGGTAAGAAATTCTTTTAGCCTTGTAATGGCTGGGTTGGGGAGAGGTTCATGGCAGAGGGCACTCAGCATTTCCTATGCATTTCAAAGGGAGAGTTCTCTTTGTTCCCCGGTGTACATGAGTCTATCAGTCGGCTTCTTGATGTACCTGCTCTGTAGCTGCTTGCTTGCCCTACCTGTGGGTACAAAAGGGGTCTGAGCCTCCTGTACTGCCCACCTGGCAGGTGTTCTCCATCCTGTCTGGACATTTTTGCAGGTATCTGGGAATTCTTACCTGTATGGAAATTTTTGATTGCCCTCAGCCTTTGTGAATATAACTTAATTGAGCATCATGTATTTTTGGATCCCTACAAAACTCTAGAGATTTGTTCTGCAATATGGTTAACTCACCTGAAAATAGCTTTGCTCTCTTAGGTCTTGCTTTTCAGGTTTATGGTTTACGTGGGAGAATGTTCCTACTACCAGCACAAGACACGGTTGTGCGTGTTCTGCCTGCCGCCCCATACATCTCAAGGTGTTTCCAGCCTAACTAGTGGGAACAGGAAGTGTTTATTCTTGTCTAAATGCCTGGAGCAGTTCCCTTTTTCCCTTTCATGGAGTTCTTTCCTTGGCATGAGGTGGTTTTCTTACACGTATGCATTGTCCAATCCTAAACTAGACCTTCATGGCCAACCTTCCGAGCATTCACTCATGCGATTTTATTCTATTTGCCTTTTTGTCTCAGGATTTTCAACTCTCTGGCCTTTCTGTGCAGCTTAACAATTTGCTGAGTTTCACTCCAGTCCTTTCCCTGATGCCAGAGAAACATGTATGCTTACAAGAGGGTAGATGGCATTGCAGAAAATCCAGTGTGACTTCAGGAAGTCTTTTCATATTTTAAAGTTATTGCTGTTTGCCTAGCAGAGCAGCAGTAACTTTGTTTTGCTTTGATAAAGGAACCCTCATCTTAATCTCCAAATGTTGTCAAACATTTTTGTCTCTTTTGCACTTTGTCTGGTTCTCTGGTTTGGATTAGTTTTCAAGGTTTCCCATATAATGATGCCTGTTGCTTTCTTGAGGGTGACATGCATTGTGTTCTTGAGCAGGCTGGCAACCTGTACTCCTGCAATGACATTCAATGACACTACAGAAACTGGAGCACAACAGCTTCTTGTAATGTGGGTATAATATGTATATGCATATTATATGTACATGCATGCATATATGAATTATGGAAATGGGTATTACAAGGTAATAGTAAAATGCAGGCTAGAATATGCAAATGTAGATGAATTCTGACTTGTAAAAATTTTAATAAATGGATGTTAATAGCTCCAATAACAATTTTGCCACAAGAGAGGTAGGAAGCACTTTACTCATCTTTTGTAATGATCATCTGTCCCCAAACATTTGTTGAGAAGCCACTATTTTGCTAGTTCGTATTCTCCCTCCTCAAGAGCTTTGAGGGAAAATTAAGAAATTGTTTTACTCTAGCAACTCAGGTTTCAAAAAAATAGGAGGATCGTTAGTAAGGAGTTGTGCTTGTCATTTGGTATTCAATGTCTTGAAGGATTCCGTAATTGTGCAGCTTTATGTTGCAAAGTCTGTGGAAGCCTGTCCTAGGGTCAAGGCATCAAAAAGTCCTTGCAAAAGATTTTGTCATCATGTGGTC